TGTGAGCACTGGCTCCCTCTGCAGCCCCCAGGTCTTGTTTTTCCAGGGTGGATGTGACCGAGGATGGGATGAAGGCTCTGGTGACACTCTCCAGCGGTGACATGCGCAGGGCCCTCAACATCTTGCAGGTATGGACCGTGGCTGCTCTCCCCTCCTGGCAGCCATCAGCCCCACGCAGGCAGCTCCCCTGGAAGGGGTGGGTTGAAGGGAAGAGCTCTTCATCCCTCCCTCGCCCTCTTCTTCCTCAGAGCACCACCATGGCCTTCGGGAAGGTGACGGAGGAGAACGTCTACACCTGCACGGGGCACCCCCTCAAGTCTGACATCGCCAACATCCTCGACTGGATGCTCAACCAGGACTTCTCCACCGCCTACCGCAGTATCCTTTTCCTTCTGCTGGCCCCGGGGGTTTAAATCCTCCTCTTCGCCTGAGTTTCCCATCCTCTGACCCCCTGCTCTGGCTTGGGGGGGTCCTCGGGGCTGTGGTGGGGACGAGGAGTGGGATCTGGTGGGGAAAAGCTTGGAAGAAAGCCCTTCACTTGCTCCCATCTCAGAAATCACGGAGCTGAAGACGTTGAAGGGGTTGGCCCTGCAGGACATCCTCACCGAGATCCACCTCTTCGTGCACAGAGGTTTGTGGTGCCCGGGTGGCCCTGGGAGGGACAACTGTCCCCCCCCCAGCTCCTGGTGACACATGCCATCTCCTTCTCTCCGCAGTGGACTTCCCCCCCTCGGTCCGAATCCAGCTGCTGATCAAGATGGCAGACATCGAGTAAGTCTCCTCTTGCCCCAAAACACCCCTGGCCGGGGGGGGGCTACCAGCGAGCCCACCCCACGGGGGTCACCGCTGCCACGCTGCGCCGGGTTTTGTGGTGGCCACTGGGCACTGCTGGCCCCGTTCCCCTCCATCCCTGCCCCATAAACCCACCGGCGCTGGGCTTGGATTGCTCCATAGACTCATAGAATGGTCTAGGTTGGAAGAGACCCTTGGGATCATCAAGTCCAACCATCTCCCCTACTCTACAAAGTCCTCCCCTACACCATGTCCCTCAGCACTGCATCTAAACGGCCCTTAAACACAGCCAGGGATGGGGACTCCACCCCCTCCCTGGGCAGCCTGTTCCAATGCCCGACCACTCTCTCTGTGAAAAATTCCTTCCTAATGTTCAATTTTTGATACAAGCCAGGATGCCATTGGCTTTCTTGCCCCCCTGGGCACAGGCCGGCTCATATTCAGCCGTTTGTCAATGAGAACCCCCAGGTCTCTTTCCTCCAGGCAGCTCCAGCCACACTTCCCCCAGCCTGTAGCGCTGCAGGGGGTTGGTGTGGCCCAAGTGCAGGACCTGGCACTTGCCCTTGTTGAAACTCATCCCGTTGATCTTGGCCCAGTGATCCAATCTATCTAGATCCTCTTGCAAAGCTAATCCCAGTGCCGGGGCTGTCACCGTGGGGACAGGGGGTGCTGGTGTGAACACCCCAACCTGCCCTGACCCCCCCCCACTCCAGGTACCGAGATCGCTCCCTCATCGCGGCGTTCCAAGTCACCAGGGACCTGATCGTGGCCGAAGCCTGACTCCGGCTGGGTGGATCCTTCCTGGCCCCATCACATCCCACAGAAGCTGGTGGGAATCATCAGTGTGGCACCCAGGGACTGCTCCCTCCGGATCCCAACCTGCCCTGACCCCCCCCCACTCCAGGTACCGGTTGGCTGCTGGGACCAGTGAGAAGATTCAGCTGAGCTCCCTCATCGCGGCGTTCCAAGTCACCAGGGACCTGATCGTGGCCGAAGCCTGACTCCGGCTGGGTGGATCCTTCCTGGCCCCATCACATCCCACAGAAGCTGGTGGGCATCATCAGTGTGGCACCCAGGGACTGCTCCCTCCGGATTCCCCACTCCTCCTCACACGCCTTGAACCCGCAGCCGGGGTGCCAGAGTCGGGCAGCGCCGTTTCTAAGCTTCCCCAGGGAAATACAGGTGCCTCCAGAGCCCGGCGGGTTTCTTGCCTGTTCTTTTTCCTCCTGTACAGCAAGGGCTGGAGGGTGGTGGTCAAAGCTGACCCTGTCACATCCACACGAGCTGAAGTCCTGCTGTTGTCACCTTCCCTGTGGTGTTGTCACCACACCCTGAGAGGTGGCTTGTGCCACCCCATCGCTCACGCAGCCGGGGACAGCACGGTTCCTTGAGGTGACATCCCCCTGTTCCAAGAGGGGACACAGCGGTGGGTGATACCCCTGCGGGTCAGGGAATCCCCAAATTTCTGCGTTTAACTGCCCGTAAGAGGAAAGAAAAATCCTGGGGAGCACGTTGGAGGAGACATTCCCCGTCCTCTCCATCAGCTGGGGTCACATCCTCGGGCTCGTGCCTGGACTGAGCACACAGGGGACACAAAGCACGTGTCACTGCAGCCACCAGTTCAGCTGGAGGGAGACAAGCACCCAAGTGCTTCACCTGCAGCAAGAACATGGGGCTGCTCGAGTGTGGAGCTCCAGGGGGAGATAAATCAGCGGGAGGGGACCTGGGGGCTGCGTGAAGTCCCTTCACGGTGGGACTGATCCTCCCCAGCACCCAGTGCTGAAGGTTTACTGGTCTGCTGGACTCGCTGCCGCCCCGACAGCCCTGGCAGGAGGCCCCGGGCCTGCCCTGCAGGTTCTCCCCAAGTCACCTCCACCAGCCAAGAGGAAAGAGGTGAGGAATCGTGATTTTTTGTTTTTATTCTGTCATCGCTGTCGTCTAGTCCGTGGAGACCCACTGGGGTCTGTCCAGCTCGTGCCCAGAGCGGCAGAGCCCGCACCTCCCCAGGAACTAAAGCTACAGCATGAGCCCATCCCCGTGAGGATGGGGGGTTTTTTTTTGGGGGGGGGGACAGTTGTAGCCCCGTATTCGTACAAAGCTCCGCTCGGGCTGCGGCTGCAAACCTTCAACTCACAACATTGCACTTGGAAGCTAAAAGCACCTGACCCAAAACTTGCAGATAGCAGGGGGACCCGCTGTGCCCCTTGCCCCTCCGCATGCTTTTTTGCTGGGTTCTAGTATTATTACACAAAAAAAAAACCAACAACCAACCAAAACCCCCAAACAAATCCCTCCACGTTCAGACACGGTCCCGAAAGAGGGGGAGTAGGGATGCTCCTGCCCCACGGCTCACGAATCAGCGAGACGTCGTCGTTGCTGCGGTGCCTCCTCCGACCCAGGCCCAGCCCTGCCACCAGGGAGGGGGCTTTTGCCTCCATCCCTCTGCTCCTGCTTTAAAAGGTCCGGTAAGTGAGGAATTCCTTCAGCTTCCTGGGAATGGGGAGTGCCAGGACCTGGTAGGTGGTGAGGAAGGTGCGCAGAGCTTTGCGACACAAGTGCTTCAGCGACGAGAGGACCCTGGGGGCGGTCCAGAATTGGACGTGGCCGTCTCTGGTCCTGCAAACGGGAGCCAAACGAGCCATGAGGACAGGGCAGAGCCACACGAGAAAGCTCAGTTATCCCCGAATACCCCAAGTTTGCAGCAACCACCCCTTGCTGCCATCCAGCGAGACTTGGACAGGCTGGAGGGCTGGGCAAGGAAGAACCTCATGAGGTTCAACAGGGAAAAGTGTAGGGTCCTGCATCTGGGGAAGAAAAATGTCAGGTACCAGTACAGGTTAGGGGTGGACCTGCTGGAGGCAACTACTGAAGAGAAAGATCTAGGGGTCCTGGTGGACAGTAAAATGACAATGAGTAAACAGTGTGCTCTTGCGGCCAAGAGGCCAATGGTATCTTGGGTTGCAAAGGGAAGAGTGTGGCCAGCAGGTCAAGGGAGGTCATTCTCCCCCTCTGCTGCATGGGGTTATTGTGGCCCAAGTGCAGGACCTGGCACTCGCCCTTGTTGAAACTCATTCCATTGATGTTGGCCCAGTGATCCAATCTATCTAGATCCTCTTGCAAAGCTAATCCCGGCTGAGGCTGTCACTGTGGGGACAGGGGGTGCTGGTGTGAACACCCCAACCTGCCCTGACCCCCCCCCACTCCAGGTACCGGTTGGCTGCTGGGACCAGTGAGAAGATTCAGCTGAGCTCCCTCATCGCGGCGTTCCAAGTCACCAGGGACCTGATCGTGGCCGAAGCCTGACTCCGGCTGGGTGGATCCTTCCTGGCCCCATCACATCCCACAGAAGCTGGTGGGAATCATCAGTGTGGCACCCAGGGACTGCTCCCTCCGGATTCCCCACTCCTCCTCACACGCCTTGAACCCGCAGCCGGGGTGCCAGAGTCGGGCAGCACCGTTTCTAAGCTTCCCCAGGGAAATACAGGTGCCTCCAGAGCCCGGCGGGTTTCTTGTCTGTTCTTTTTCCTCCTGTACAGCAAGGGCTGGAGGGTGGTGGTCAAAGCTGACCCTGTCACATCCACACAGGCTGAAGTCCTGCTGTTGTCACCTTCCCTGTGGTGTTGTCACCACACCCTGAGAGGTACGACTGTGGCTTGTGCCACCCCATCGCTCACGCAGCCGGGGACAGCACGGTTCCTTGAGGTGACATCCCCCTGTTCCAAGAGGGCAGGCACACAGCGGTGGGTGACACCCCTGCACGTCAGGGACCCCCCAAATTTCTGCGTTTAACTGCCCGTAAGAGGAAAGAAAAATCCTGGGGAGCACGTTGGAGGAGACATTCCCCGTCCTCTCCATCAGCTGGGGTCACATCCTCGGGCTCGTGCCTGGACTGAGCACACAGGGGACACAAAGCACGTGTCACTGCAGCCACCAGTTCAGCTGGAGGGAGACAAGCACCCAAGTGCTTCACCTGCAGCAAGAACATGGGGCTGCTCGAGTGTGGAGCTCCAGGGGGAGATAAATCAGCGGGAGGGGACCTGGGGGCTGCGTGAAGTCCCTTCACGGTGGGACTGATCCTCCCCAGCACCCAGTGCTGAAGGTTTACTGGTCTGCTGGACTCGCTGCCGCCCCGACAGCCCTGGCAGGAGGCCCCGGGCCTGCCCTGCAGGTTCTCCCCAAGTCACCTCCACCAGCCAAGAGGAAAGAGGTGAGGAATCGTGATTTTTTGTTTTTATTCTGTCATCGCTGTCGTCTAGTCCGTGGAGACCCACTGGGGTCTGTCCAGCTCGTGCCCAGAGCGGCAGAGCCCGCACCTCCCCAGGAACTAAAGCTACAGCATGAGCCCATCCCCGTGAGGATGGGGGGTTTTTTTTTGGGGGGGGGGACAGTTGTAGCCCCGTATTCGTACAAAGCTCCGCTCGGGCTGCGGCTGCAAACCTTCAACTCACAACATTGCACTTGGAAGCTAAAAGCACCTGACCCAAAACTTGCAGATAGCAGGGGGACCCGCTGTGCCCCTTGCCCCTCCGCATGCTTTTTTGCTGGGTTCTAGTATTATTACACAAAAAAAAAACCAACAACCAACCAAAACCCCCAAACAAATCCCTCCACGTTCAGACACGGTCCCGAAAGAGGGGGAGTAGGGATGCTCCTGCCCCACGGCTCACGAATCAGCGAGACGTCGTCGTTGCTGCGGTGCCTCCTCCGACCCAGGCCCAGCCCTGCCACCAGGGAGGGGGCTTTTGCCTCCATCCCTCTGCTCCTGCTTTAAAAGGTCCGGTAAGTGAGGAATTCCTTCAGCTTCCTGGGAATGGGGAGTGCCAGGACCTGGTAGGTGGTGAGGAAGGTGCGCAGAGCTTTGCGACACAAGTGCTTCAGCGACGAGAGGACCCTGGGGGCGGTCCAGAATTGGACGTGGCCGTCTCTGGTCCTGCAAACGGGAGCCAAACGAGCCATGAGGACAGGGCAGAGCCACACGAGAAAGCTCAGTTATCCCCGAATACCCCAAGTTTGCAGCAACCACCCCTTGCTGCCATCCAGCGAGACTTGGACAGGCTGGAGGGCTGGGCAAGGAAGAACCTCATGAGGTTCAACAGGGAAAAGTGTAGGGTCCTGCATCTGGGGAAGAAAAATGTCAGGTACCAGTACAGGTTAGGGGTGGACCTGCTGGAGGCAACTACTGAAGAGAAAGATCTAGGGGTCCTGGTGGACAGTAAAATGACAATGAGTAAACAGTGTGCTCTTGCGGCCAAGAGGCCAATGGTATCTTGGGTTGCAAAGGGAAGAGTGTGGCCAGCAGGTCAAGGGAGGTCATTCTCCCCCTCTGCTCTGCACTGGGGAGGCCACAACTGGAGTACTGTGTCCAGTTCTGGGCTCCCCAGTTCAAGAGGGACAGGGAACTACTAGAAACTTCTTCACGGTGAGGGTGACAGAGCCCTGGAACAGGCTGCCCAGGGAGGGTGTGGAGATTCCTTCCTTGGAGATTTTCAAAACCCGCCTGGATGCTCCTGAGTAACATGCTCTAGCTCTAGGCAATCCTGCTTCAGCAGGGGAGTTGGACTAGATGATCTCTATGGTCCCTTCCAACTCTAGAAATTCAGTGAAATTCAGTGAAATTCAGTGAAACGGGAGCCAAACGAGCTGTGAGGACAGGGCAGAGCGACACAAGAAAGCTCAGTTACCCACGAATATCCCAAGTTTGCAGCAACCACCCATTCCCCAGCCCAGGAAGCCAGCCAGGGAAGCCCAGAATTTACTGAGCTGGAGGAGGAAGAGGAAGCAGCCCGTGTTTTTCCGCATTTCCTCTCCCCTGTACCCACCCTGTGGCGATGAAACCGCCATGTGGGAAGTACATGCAGCACAAGCCGTTGGTCATGGGAGCAAACGCCACCGGGGACCGCAGCTCCAAGGCCCAGATCCTCAGGAGCCTAAGGAGAAAGAGAGGGGACACCGTGCCAGGCCCACGTCCACGCAGCGCCTGCAGCTAAAAGAAAAGCCTCTGGAGCTTTGCAAACTCTGGAGGATTTTGTCCCCCTGTACTGGGCACTGGTGAGGCCTCACCTTGAGTACTGTGTCCAGTTTTGGGCCCCCTACCATAAAAAAGACATTGAGGTGCTGGAGCGGGTCCAGAGAAGGGCGACAAAGCTGGTGAGGGGTCTGGAGCACAAGTCTTATGAGGAGAGGCTGAGGGAACTGGGGTTATTCAGCCTGGAGAAGAGGAGGCTGAGGGGAGACCTTATTGCTCTCTACAACTCCCTGAAAGGAGGGTGTAGAGAGATGGGGGTCGGTCTCTTTTCTCAAGTCACAGACAACAGGACGAGAGGAAATGGCCTCAAGTTGCACCAGGGGAGGTTCAGGCTGGATATTAGGAAAAATTTTTTCACTGAAAGGGTTCTCAGCCATTGGAATGGGCTGCCCAGGGAGGTGGTTGAGGTCCCATCCCTGGAGGTGTTCAAAAGCCGGGTTGATGTAGTGCTGGGAGGTCTGGTTTAGTGATGATGCTCCTTGTTTGTTGTGTGGGTGACTATTTTTGTCAAAGTTAGGTTGACGGTTGGACAAGATGATCTTTAAGGTCCCTTCTAACCTAGAAGATTCTGTGATTCTGTGACTTAAAGTATCCCAGGAGTGTCCCAACACGAGCAGCAAGGCGGGAGGCACCGTCCCCTCTGGAGCTGAGCTGGATGCAGACAGCTAGTGACCATGCTGAGGGGGACAGCAAGGGTGACACAGCACCGAGGAGGACACAGGCTCATCTCTCAGAAGGGTGACAGGGCTGTGACCTTGCATTGTCACAGCCACGGTGTGCCAGTCAGCCCACCCTTTCCCTTTATGCCAGGCACTGGTGGAGAACTGGGTGAGGTCTGCTCCCCGCGATGGCACGTCCCAAGCTCCTGGTTTGTTTCATTGGGGTCCTCCTGGGACCTTCTTCCCGCTGGAGGTCCCCAAGGGGGGTTCACTCACCTGTCATCTGCCACCGTGGCCAGGTAGAGGCCCTCAGGGGAGAAGCAGACGGAGCGCAGGGAGCTGGTGTGGACTTCGCCGCTGTAGTCCAGCGCCGAGTGCAAGGGGACGTGGCTGTGGGTGGGGAGAACAAGCCCAGCATCAGCCCCAGTCTGCCATGAGCCACATCCCAGTGCTCCGGGGCTGGCAGTGGGGCCAAACACAGCAAGTCAGAGCCCCCTTCAGCCATTGGAGACGAGGGAGAGGTGGTGGCCATGCCCAGCTAGAAGGGAAGCCCACGCTCTGTCAGGCATTGGTCTGTCCACCCTCCATGCCCCATACCGCAGTGTCCTCAGCTGCTCCCCGGTGTAGGGGTCCCACATGATGACACAGGCGTCGTAGGAGGCGGTGACGAGGAGGGCCGAGTCTGGTGAGAAGTCACAGGACACCACGCTGCTCTGGTGCCCCTCCAGCCTCCGGATGAGGGTGTAGGATCGCATGCTCCACAGCAGCGCCTGCGGGGCACGGGCAGGGGATGAGGCTGGGAGCACCCCGGGGTCGGGAGCAGAGGAGAAACATAGAATCATAGAATGGTCTAGGTTGGAAGAGACCCTTGGGATCATCGAGTCCAACCATCTCCCCTACTCTACAAAGTCCTCCCCTACACCATGTCCCTCAGCACTGCATCTAAACGGCCCTTAAACACAGCCAGGGATGGGGACTCCACCCCCTCCCTGGGCAGCCTGTTCCAATGCCCGACCACTCTCTCTGTGAAAAATTCCTTCCTAATGTTCAATCTAAACCTCCCCTGTTGGAGCTTGGAGCCATTCCCTCTCGTTCTGTCACTCATGCCATGTGAGAAGAGACCAGCACCAACCTCTCTACAGTGTCCTTTCATGTAGTTGTAGAGAGTGATGAGGTCTCCCCTCAGTCTCCTCTTCCTCATACTAAACAGCCCCAACTCCCTCAGCCGCTCCTCATACGGTTTGTTTTCCAGCTCGGGGTTTAAGTTCCATGAGCTCTGGTCCTGGCTCCCAGCTCCTCCATGAAGAGCTGGGATGGCCAAGGAGCGAGGGTGGCTCTGGTCTGGCTCCTTCTCGCCCCGGGGGGGACACAGGGGGTCGAGGGGAGCGTTGGATTCAGCGGGACTCACCGACTTCTCTCCGGCAGCGGAGCAGAGCATGCTGCAGTCCGGGGAGATGGAGCAGCAGTAGACCCACTGCACGTGGCCTGACAGCACCTGGACCTGCCGCCCTGGGGGACAGCAGACACGCGAGTCACGAGAGGGGAACACGAGAGGCCCTGCCCCTGCTCTCCCCCCACCTTTCCCAAGAGGGAACACACATGGGGTTGAGGCAGGGGGGGGTTCACCTGGGCAGATCCCAACCTCTAATCTCCTTGCACCCCTCTCCTGCACTTCCTAGCCCCCCCTGGAAGTGGATGGCTCTGCTCCGTGTCACAGGACCATCCCCTTCTTCCTCAAATACTGTCCCCAAAGATCCTCTCCCACCTTCTCCCCTACCAAGGTGGGTTTCTCCCCAAGTCTTTCCCGCAGCGGAGCCCAGCCTCAGCCAGGGGTGACCCAGCACCAGGGATGTCCCCACGCCCTCCTACCATCTCTGCTCAGGTCCCAGACACGCAAGGTCTTGTCCCGCGAGGCTGACACAAGGATGAGGCTTCCATTGGGAGCGAAGCTCAGGTCTCTGACCACGTCCTGGTGTCCCAAGAGGCTGAAGAGGAGGTGTCCTGCGGAGAGGGGGATGTGCTGAGCGCTGTGCCCAACATGGGGAACAAGGCAGTGCCCCTCACGGTGCTTGGGACCTGGCAGGGGCTCCCGCTCACCCCGGGGGAGTATGAGGGGAAGGATGAAGATGGAATCTCCTTCCAAGGGGAGAGACACCAGCCTGATGCCACGACGGCTCTGTCTGCCGGCCATGTCTGCTCACCTGTCTGCACCTCCCAGACCTTGATCTGCCCGTCGTTGAGGCCGGTGGCCAGGATCAGGCAGGGAAGAGCCACGGCGCAGGCGGGCTCCGTCTCCCCGGCCGCCGGCCAGGCGCTGAAGGCCAGGCCCCACACGATCTGCCCGCACTCCAGCGTCTTCTCCTTGGCCGCCCCACGGCCCCTGGCCTCCCCTTTGCCTCCCCGGCCCTTGCGCTCCGAGGTTTTGCAGCTGTGGGGAGAAAGGAGAGGGATGGCGTTCGCTGTCCCCCCCACCAAAAGCCGGCCTGGCGTGTGCCCCCCTCCCCGCCATTAACTCACAGCTCGGCCTCCCCCAGGGGCCAGGGGATCAGCTTGACCACGCAGTGTCCCTGCGACCAGGCGAACCAGGCGCCGTCGGGGGAGAAGGCCACGCTCCATGTCTCGCAGCTGGATTTCCAGTCGTAGCGCTGGGGGCGGCCCGGCTTCAGCTCGGCCAGAAGCACCGGCTCCTCTGGGGGGGCGGGACGGCCATGTTACCCCCCCCGACACACACACACCCCCTCCGGCTTCCCTCACCGCTCACCTCCCCACCGCCCCGGGGCTCCCTCCCCACCGCCCCGGGCTCTCCACAAGGAAGGCTCCCGGGGATGGTCCCCGCCGGCCCCGCCTCACCTCCGCTCGGCTTCATGGCGGCTCCGCGGCCCGGCCCCGGCCGGCCGCCGCAAGGCCCCGCCGGGCCCAGGCCCAGGCCCAGGCCCAGAACCAGGCCCAGGCCCGGCCAGTGCTGGGGCCTGGCAGGCAAGATGGAGCCTGCTGCACAAGCAACAGTACTGCCAAAGTCACCTTTGTTGGGGAACAGCGTGCAGCTGTGCTTTCAGGTGGCACCAGTGGTCGTGGGTTGCACCCATAGTGATCATTGCAGACCAAAGGGAAGAAACGGGGTTGCCACAGCCGAGTGCCCATCCCTCCCTCGCCCCCAAGCACAGCCACTGACAGAAAGGGGCCTGGGGCCTCCCTGGGCACCTTTCTGGGATGAGTTTGGAGGATAAGAACAGAGTGCTCTGCTGTCATAGGCCTCATACCAAAAACTAACAAAGAAAAAGCCAAATTTCATCCCTTTATCTCTTCTGATTTTATTTCATGCTTTCTAAATGTTTTCTGTATTCCTTTGTGGAAGAGGAGATGTAATGTATTTTCAGAGGGACCCAGCTCCTGCAGGATCCTAAATTGGCTCATTTAATCTACATGGGTACTTGAATCCTCACTTAAGACATTAGTTAATTAAGCCACATTAAACCACACAGGCAAAAAAGAGGCTATGTTCAGATAAATTTAAGGGTCTGATTTTCTGATTTAAAACCACAAAGCAAAGACTTGCAGAGAGCCCAGCCTGGTGCTCCCTCATTAACTCAGCATATTGTGACATTTATAGTTCTCACTCAGCACTAGGAAACCAAGGAAAGTAGGGGGTTACAGTGGTGAAACAAAACTTGAGAACGCTGCAGAAAAATAAAGTTTGTGTCCATACCATGGACTTGCACAACAAGGCTTTGCCTTGTAGGCATTCAGAAATCTCTCTCATGCTCATGGAAGTGTTTTCATGTTCACAAAGGCGAATTTTTGTGCTGCCATTTGAAAGTCTCTTTTCTGTAGATGTTTCAGTAATTCTATCAGAAGCAGAACTCACTCCTGAGTGAGCTGACTAACCACATCCAAAGAGAAAGTAAGCAAGGAAAATGAGTTTTTCATGAAAAAATCATAACCTGGAACAAGATTATTTAACTAAGTTCAACTTAATAAACAAATACTAGCTAAGAAAGAAAGGCTATACACAGATAAGCAATAAAACATGTAAGAAGAGCAAAACCAAAAAAATAATTACTTGGCATGGGTCCACATGTAAGTAAATGGAGAATGTCAGAGGGCCTTCCCTCTTTTTCCTAAACCTGCATCCTGACTTCAAGCATCTTTCTCCAAGTTAAGCACATCTTTACTACTACATAAACGTTTGAAGTTTTAGGGAGGGGAAAGGGGCTAAAGCTGGGCTTTCTGAATTTTGGAGTTTTTCTGTTACCATTTGCTGTTCTTTAAGTTACCAAAGTCATTTAAACAGTTCACAAGTATCTACACAAAATTTCAAAATTTGTGTAGGCATTGCTTTCCCTCCTGCATCTTAGTGTCTGAGAACTTCAGAAATCTTATGCTACCAGTGTTTTGCAGAAATATGCCAACGTAAAAAAAAAAAAAAAACAAAACAGGTATTAAGCTCAGAAACAAATATCTGAGGCAGAGAAAGATGTAAACTCTTTCTATATTCCAAATGGATAGCTTAAATGCAACCCCTCCCTCCTTAGCTGCATTCAGCTTTAATAAAGCTGTAAGAAAACTAAAAAAAAGGAAAAAGAAAGAAAGGAAGGAAAAGAAAAAGAAAAATAAAGAAACCCGTGTAAAAGTCTCCCCGTTTACAAAATTATTATAGCTCTTTCTTTTGCCATTCCTGTAGTTTAGAATTAATCAAACTTTTTTTGTTAAATGTATAAAGAAAAGACAAGACACATGCTGTTTGTTATCTCTATAAAGAATTAGGGCTATAACAGATTTAGTGAGAGAGATTTTTCAAAGAAACTTAGTAATACAGTTTCCTCTGAAAACAAATCACAGACTTTCCTAAGGGTAGCAGATAACGCTCGAGACCCAGCATAAAAAAGTGCAGTAACATGAAGAAATACAATAATCCAAATACATATTGTACTTTTCCTATGGGTACAGGTAACACTTTGAAAACCTTAAGCCCATGCTTTCCTTTCATTTACATGAGAAAAAGAAATTGTGAGAGTTTTAGTAATGTGTACAAGACTACACAAGTGCAGATGCAAAAGAAATCAGTTTCAAGCTGCTCCTGATCTTTAGAAATGTATTTGTTCTGAAGACACCTCAACACCGCATTCTCATTCTTATTTTCAATGAATAGAAGTATTATCAATGTATCTTTAATTTAGGATTTTGTTCAGCAGCTTTAGAAGAACCTTCCTGAGATTTGGAAGGCATCTTTCTTTAGCCAATAGTGCTGAAAAAAAAAAAAAAACAGTCTCAAGATTAACTTTTCACAAGATCACGTAAATATTCTTTCAAGAAATAATCAACTATACATTTTAAACCAAATTCAAGAGTCTCTTTTTTCATCCATTAACAAAATAACCAAGTTTTGTATGTAAAAACAAAGATAGTA